ATTCATCACGGATCACCCAATTGATTTTTTCCAACAACATTCTTAAATTTGATTTTGATTTGTAAACTTCTGGTTTGCAATTATGCTTGTGCTTTAATTGTTCTAACTAATTTCAATAGTGAAAATATAATTAGAATTTTATTGTTATCAAAATAAAAATAGATATTTTAAACAAATGATTAATTTTTTATTTGATTTAATTCTTATAAATTAAATATAAAGAATTAAAAAAAATAATTATTCATTTTAATAATTAAACAAAATAAAAATATCATAAGTACATTTCAATAGAAAAATATAAGGAATAAATAAGAATCAGGAAAAATAAAAACATAATATATATATATATATATATATATATATATATATATATATATATATATATATATATATATATATATATATATATATATATATATATATATATATATATATATATATATATATATATATATATATATATATATATATATATATATATATATATATATATATATATATATATATATATTTCAATAGAAATTATTCAACCATAATTATAAACACACTTTAGTGTAACATTTCAATTTTAATGTATAAAAAATTAAAGGATAAATAAATAATTATACAACATTTATTTAATCTCTTTTAATAAAATAATTAAATAGTATTCAATTTGATTTTATTCAAATATATTGTGTTTTAAATTATTCATCATTATAAGGTCAAATTACTACACTATAACTTATAATAATAAAAATCATAATTTTCACGCTAAAAAGTAAAAGTAAAAGTCTTAATCACAAAGAAATGTATTATTATTATTATCATTCTATTTTTTATTAATGAAATCAAACTTAAAAAAACATAAATAGTTTATTTACTTATAAGAATATAATATAATCCAATATGTGTCAATTAATTTTTTTTAATAATAAAAATCTAAATCACAATTATGATTAATATTTCAAGATATTTTTGAAAGTTTATTCTTGATTGTTGATTCTTATAGAACTCAACCAATATTCTTTATTAACAATGATTAATAAAAATTATAATTCACAAATGTCATTATTCTTAGATAACAATGTAATTCTTTAGGGATGATTTAACATTTTTGTTTGTTTTTACGAAATTGTTAAATCCTTCTGGGATATTTCACTATTATTAATGCAATCTTTCTTGGATTGGATAATATTATTGGTGCAATTATTTTGCTAATTTTTAATATAATTGATGCAATTCTACTAAGATTTATAAATATTATAGATGCAATCCTTCTGAGATTCATCTTTCTGGAGTTCATTAATATTATTTTTCAGAGATGTTTTATAAATTCTTCGAAAACTATATAACGTTATCCTTTAGGGATGCTTTATAAGTTTTTCAGGAACTTAAAATAGTTGATAAGTTTTTCAAGAATTTATATAAATATTATTTTGCTATCCTTCAGGGATGCTTGATAATAATCATTAATTTTCTTTTCTTTTTTTCTAATCAATATATTATAAATAATAGGTAGAAAATGTATATAATAAATTAAAAAGAAATAATGTAATCTTACAACACCAACTTTCAAGTCTTTGAGCTCCGTGTTGATAACGTGTTAGGAAAGTAATGAGAAACAATATAATAAAAGAGTAAAAACGAATAACAGAGGAGAAAATAATATTGTATATTCTCATAATGAGTGTCCATTTCCAATAAATATGAATACTATTTATAAAATATATGTAATAAATAGAAAATCAATTGAAAATTCCTAATTGATGGACATTCATAATTATTTCATGGAGACAAAATATCTATTTTGATCCCTTAAATATACCCTTTGAGTTAAGATTAATCCCTTAACTTTTTACGTGTCAACTTTGTCCCTTAACTTTCAAAAAGTTTAATTTTAGTCTTTTTTTGTCTAAATAGCGACGAATTTAGCGACCAATTTCTAAGTTTTCAAGTCGTTAATTAGATAAAAAAGACTAAAATGAAACGTTTTAAAAATTAAGGGACCAAGTTGACACGGAAAAAATTAAGGAAAGAATCTGAACCCAAGAGTATAGTTAAGGGACCAAAATATATATTTTTCCTTCCATTTATAACATCTATTTTATTTTATAAATTAAATCAATTTTGTTCTTATTCTGTTCAGTTGAACAAAAATATTATGTTTAGTTCTGTCTAAGTGACCACCGTAAAAATTGTAGACTAACAAACTTAAGCAATTATATGACAAAATATCTCATCTTAACATACTTACAAAAATTATTATTACAAAAGTATTATGTTTAGTTCTGTCTAAATATAACTTTTAAATTATATTAGTACTAAATGATTTTATTTTGGTGGAAGCAATCGAGGAAGAAATGGCGAGAATAAATTTGACAAGAATAATGTTCAGTGTTACAATTGTCAAAAGTATGTATATTTTTCCTGAAGAATGCTATGCCAACTAGAAGGATTCACAAGAAGATGAAGCAATACTTGCAAGGAAACTAAATGATGATGAAAACTCGCATGGATGAAATAAATGATTGGTTTGTAAAAATTAATTAAGCTATTATGAACGAGATGAAATTTGTAGACAATGACACTCTAGGAGCTGGAGGAATTGGTCGTGTATCAATCAAAATAAAAAATGGTGACTATTCTTTAATTACAAATGTGTTATACAATCAAGGAATCAAATGTAGTCTTTTAAGTATAGGTCAATTGCTTGAAAAGAATTACAAGACTTACATGAAAGGCATGTTTTTGAAAGTTCTAGACTAAACTAGAATTTTTATTCTAAAGGCTCCCAAGTCAAATAATAGAACCTTCAAATTCAAGCTCAATGTGATGGAGCATATGTGATTGAGAATAACTTCTAGTATATAGGAATGAATGAGTGATTTAAAATGGATATGTGCAATGAAAGAATAGTTGGAGTCAATTGAAAGTAACAAGACATGTGAGCTAGTTAATCTTCCGTAAGGAAAGAAAACAATTGGTGTAAAATGGGTGTTTAAAGTAAAATTGAATCCCATAGGAGAAGTGATTAAGCACAAACCCAAACTAGTGGTAAATGGGTTCTTACAAAGAGAATGTGTGGACTTTGATGAAGTTTTTGCTCCTCTGGCCAGAATTGAGACCATTAGGCTAGTTGTTGCAATTACAAATAAAACAATTGTTTCAACTATAAAATGGATGTCAAATCAATATTTCTAAATGGTCCCTTAGAAGAAGAAGAAGTGTTTGTAGCTCAGACTTCTGATTTTTTGAAAAACCTTGAATCAAAAGTGTAACAATTGAGGAAAGTATTGTATGGGCTCAAGCAAGCTCATAGGGCTTGGAACAAGATGATTAATGACTTTCTACAAGATATAGGATTCAATAAGTGTGTATTTGAAAATGGAATGTATATTAAAAAAGATACAAGTGAGGGAGTGATCATTATGTGTCTATGTTAATGACCTGCAATTATCATAGGAAGTAATGAAGACTATGTTGGTGAATTTGGAAGTGGTCTATAAAAGGAGTTTCAAATAATAGATCTTGGCCACATATTTCCTTGGTATTGAGTTCTGAAAAACTAGCAAAGGACTGCTATATGCGTCAAAAAACACTTTATATCCTGAAGAAATTTGAAATGGAACAATGTAATGCTCTTATAACACCTGCATAACCAATTTAGCAACTATCAAAAGAAGCTGATGAGAAAGTAGTTGATTCAACATAATATTTAAGGCTCATTGGATCAGTGAGGTACTTGTGCAACACAAAACGATACCTAACATACATTGTGGGAATTGTGATTTGTTTATAGAGAAACCAAAAGTGTCACACTTAGTAGTAGTCAATAGAAGATGGAGGTACATCACAAGTTCAATTGATTGTGATATCTTATTTCTAGCACTTCACTGTTAGAGGTGCACACATATGCTTGAATGGATATACACTCATGCTCGATTTTATTTAGTTTAGATCAAGCCATTAAATGCACTGGACTGCGGGATTGCTCACAACAATCAAATGTTACGATGAAATATTTTGCCATATAATTGCTTGGATTTGTTAGTCTGCAATTTTAGGGTGTAGACTTAGACAGAACTAAACAGAATATTTTTGTTCAATCGAAGAGAATAAGAGAAAAAAATACTTTATAAAATAAAATAACTAATTTATAAATATTAATACCATAATAAAATTTAACATTTTCAAAAATTGAATTTGAACTTGAATACTTATATTAAAGTAATATTAAAAAACAAATTATAGTTAACTAAATCGTGATTTTCTTTTGACAAATACCATAGTTCAAAAAGATGTGTGATGTTGAGAGACCCACATAATCTATTTAAACAAATAATAATCATAATGAACATTGAAAGAAAACATTGATAATATTAAAGTCATTGATAAAGTTATTTTTATAAACATAAATAATTTAAAAAATATTTTGTTAAAAAGAAAAAGTATATTGTTGATACAATTATTTTTATAAACAAGAATAAATTACAAATATTTTTATAAATGAGAAAAAGTTATTTGTTAATACAATTATATTTATAAACAGGAATAAATTATAAATATTTTTATACAATTATTTTTTATAAACAGAAATAAGTTACAAATATTTTTCTATAGAAGAAAAGTCTCCTATTGATACAATTATCTTGGAAAAATATCATTTTTAGTCCCTTAAATTTACCTCGAGATCCATTCTGGTCTCTTATCTTTAAAAAGTATCAAAGTGGTCCCTTAACTCGGGATCTAAACAATATATCAAATCACTACACCACTTTACACTTGCTTGTATGTGTTACAAAATGACTTAGTTTCATTGTCTAGATTCTTTCTCTTTATTCAAAACTCATCTTCTTACTGTTCTTATTCAATATTTCAACTTCCTTTTTTTTCTTCCTGGAACCGTGCATATTTGTAAACTTAAATCTCAAACTAGAAACTAGTTGAAGTTGAATCTCATCTACGCATAAACAGATGGCTAAGGTAGCTCCAACAACAACTATGAAGAGGCTAGAAAACTAAGATTGGAACAAAACTAAGATTAGTTTTCCCTCTTTCTCTCTGTAGAAACGCTGTCTCAAACGAAATGTTTTTGATTGGAATGACACATTTACCATATCATTGAACTGCATTAAGGTAACATCAAAATGTTAATGTAACCAAAGTACATTAAAAAAGTGCATGACATTAAGGTAACATCAAAATGTTAATGTAACCAAAGTACATTAAAAAAGTGCATGACAAGAATAGAAAAATAGAGGCATACCCATCTTGCTCCAGTGTCAACTGGACCAAACCCATTAATTGATGTGTACTCGTTAAAGTACTGTGGGATAGATAAGCCCAGGAAGATAGAGAAGCCTAATACAAACTTTGTCCTAAAACTGTCGAGGTTGCAGAATTGAAGAAAACTTAGACCTCCAGAACCTACAAATGGTCATTAAAAGTGCTTATTGTAAGCATCAAAGTAACTGAAAAGAAGTATCCATGGCTGGCATAAGTGCTTATCGTATATTCACGGGCAGATGATCGGGTTAAAAACACTGCACTTAAACTTTCATCTTACCTAGAATTGAAAAGAAAATCATAAACCCGACGAATATTGGCACCACTCTTCAACTACCGACACATGTTAAAGCCAAAAGACCAACATTTTCTCTATAAGAAAACAAAAACGAACACAATTCTCTCATCACCAAGGATGTTTCCTCTTAATTATGTGGGGTGAACAAGCAGAATAGATAGATTCTTACACAGATACAAAAGATCAAATCCCAGTTCCAAACAATCTCGATAACAGAATGCCAACACCCTGAAGAGCGGATACAAAATATATAATTATCAGTGTTAGTTTCCTAAGAAAGAACTACTATTGTTTTTATAAATGCATTTAAATTAATTTGTGGATATTTGAATGCAATAATATTCAATGAAGCTAGTAAGAAGATGAGTTTTGAATAAAGAGAAAGAATTTAGATAATGAAACCAAATCATTTTGTAACACATACAAACAAGTGTAAACTGGTGTAGTGGTAAAATAAATAGTATGTTATTTAGCAACCAAGTGTTCATGTCTTTGAATCTTATCTAAAATAAATTTTGTAGAAATTTTATGGGTATTTAATGCCCTCACATACCACGCGTATGACAAACTAGCCAGGAAGGACTGCGTCACATTACATCCAAGCAAATGTTAATGGTGTTTCAAAAAATTAGACGGAAAGAACTAACGTGGACCTTTTATAAAAACGAGAACAAGTTTAAATATTTATATAAATAGGAAAAAGTATATTGTTGATATAACTATATTTATAAATGGGAATAAGATGAAAATATTTTTATAAACACAAAAAATATATTGTTGATTCAATTTTGTTTGTAAACGGGAATAAGTTGCAAATATTTTTATAAATAAGAAAATTTCTACTGTTGATACAATTATTTTTATAAACAATAAATATTTTTATAAACGGACACACAATTTCTAAACACTTATATTGTATCAAATAAGCGTATTGTTTTTACAAATATTGGAAAATATTACTTGGATCAATACATAAAGGTTTATACATATTATTATTTTATATTTGTGATTATGTGAATTTTATAATTTGTAAAACAAATTTTAAAACTGACAAATGAGATATCGCAGCGTGTAATATGAATCTCGACGGAACACGTGTGATAGCACGAGCATCCTACTAGTTAGTATATCAAATAGAAATTTAGAGAAAATCAAATAATAGGTGAAGTGAAGATCACTTATTAAGGGATAAGATGAAATAGAAACAACAACAAGAGTGGCTCACGGCTAAAAAATACAAGCTTTTCCTCTGTAATAAGTATTCCTTCAAATTCCTTTTCACCACTAACTAAAGAAAACAACATTAAACGTTTAACTTTATCAATCAAACAAAATATAAGAGAAGAGTAAAAAACACGATGGCAAGAGAAACTCTTTCGATTGATGTCGTGAAAATAAAAAGTTAATGAGAAATAACTTACTTTTAAGGGTACACAGGTCAATAAGATAAGAGGAAGTAACATATAGAAGGTCGTGGATGACATGCGGCGTGGACGGTAAGGCACAAGAGGCGTGAGAGAACACAAAAGAGGTGTTGGAGAAGACTTCGTGCATAAGGAGGATTTGAGAGAAGCATCTTTAGAGATGTTGTAAAGCTCTCTGATATGGTTAATACCGTTAAATGGTCTTTTGAAAGTCTTTTTCTTCAAGAGAAAGCATCAATTGCATTCCATCTGTCTTTTGCAATTTTTCTGCTAGGTCTTCACGTGATTAGAAGAGGACAAAATGTCTTTAGAGTTTGATAGTGACCTATTAGAGTTTCTTGATCCTTGAGTTTTAACTGGCTCTAGGTTTTGTGTCTTCATAAGTAGACTTCACTCAAAATCTGGGATCATCTATTTCAAATCCTTGACTAGGTTTAAAGTTTAAGTATTCAGGTTTAGATCCTTCCCAGGTTGATTTTCTTTAAAAGTTGATCTCCTTCATAAACTGATTCTTCAGAGTGTGATCTTCAAAATCTGCATCTTAAGGCTTGTCTTTGAATGTTCAATGCAGTGTCAGAAATGACTTTTAATCAGAATTTTAATCTATACTCTTGCACACGAGAACACATATTAGTATACATAATTGGTCTTTAAATATTTTGTTATCATCAAATCCTTAAGGATGTGGTGCAAACCAAATTTATTCCAACAAGTCAACCCAAGATCTCAATCCGCTATTGGATCAAACACGAGATATGATTCTGAAGCCAATCATTGAAAGATAAAGAGTTTAGCTGAGACTTATGGTGGAGCGACAGAGTCAAATCCAAGCCAAAAAAAATACATTTCTCCTCCAACTCTTTCACATTAGATGATACATAGAAGAAAATGTTATCATTACGAGCCAACCAAATAGTCCATACCACACATGCCAACTCAGAATAAACATTTTCCTATTGGGCCCGATCTAATCCTCATTGTTTGTACCTTTTCCTTCTGAGATTCATCTTTCTGGAATTCGTTAATATTATTCTTCAGAGATGCTTTATAAGTTCTTCGAGAACTATATAACGTTATCCTTTAGGGATGCTTTATAAGTTCTTCAGGAACTTAAAATAGTTGATAAATTTTTCAACAATTTATATAAATATTCTTTTGCTATCCTTCAGGGATGCTTGATAATAATCATTAATTTTCTTTTTCTTTTTCTAATCAATATATTATAAATAATAGGTAGAAAATATATATTATAAAATTAAGAAGAAATAATGTTACCTTACAACACCAACTTTCAAGTCTTTGAGCTTTGTGCTGACAACATGTTAGGAAAGTAATGAGAAACAATATAATAAAAGGGTAGAAACGAATTAGAGAGGAGAAAAATAGTATTGTATTATTTTCATTATCAGTGTCCATTTCTAGTACAATATGAGTATTATTTATAGAACATATGTAATACATAGAAAACAATTAAAAATTACTTAATGATGGACATTCATAAACATTTCATTTAGACAAAATATATATTTTAATCCCTTAAATATACCCTTGAGTTCAGATTGGTCCCTTAATTTTTGTGTGTGTCAACTTGGTCCCTTAACTTTCAAAAAGTTTCATTTTAGTCCTTTTTGTCTAAATAGCGACGAATTTAGTGACCGATTTCTAAGTTTTTCAGTCGTTAATTAGACAAAAAGACTAAAATGAAACATTTTGAAAGTTAAGGGATCAAGCTGACACAAAAAAAATTAAGGAAACAATTTGAACCCAAGAGTATAGTTAAGGGACCAAAATGGATATTTTGCCTTCCACTTATAACATCTATTTTATTTTATAAATTAAATCAATTTTGTTCTTATTCTCTTTAGTTGAACAAAAATATTATGTTTAGTTCTGTCTAAGTGTGCATCTTAAAATTATAGACTAACAAACTCAAGCAATTATATGACAAAATATCTCATCCTAACATACTTATAAAAATTATTGTTACAAAAATATTATGTTTTGTTCTGTCTAAATATAACTTTTAAATTATACTAGTATTAAATATTCAGTGTTACAATTGTAAAAAATATGTGCATTTTTCTTGAAGAATGCTATGCCAACTAGAAGGATTCACAAGAAGATGAAGCAATACTTGCAAGGAAACTAAATAATGATGAAAACTCGCATGGATGAAATAAATGATTGGTTTGTAAAAATTAATTAAGCTATTATGAACGAGATGAAATTTGTAGACAATGACACTCTAGGAGGTCGTGTATCAATCAAAATAAAGAATGGTGATTATTCTTTAATTACAAATGTGTTATACAATCTAGGAATCAAATGTAATCTTTTAAATATAGGTCAATTGTTTGAAAAGAATTACAAAACTTACATGAAAGACATGCTTTTGAAAGTTCTAGACTAAATTAAAATTTTTATTCTAAAGACTCCCATGTCAAATAATAGAACCTTCATGATTGAGCTCAATGTGATGGAGCATATGTGATTAGGAATAACTGCTAGTATATAGAAATGAATTTGGCACTATATACTTTGCCATCTCAACTTCGGGATCTTAATACTATTTAGAGAAATTGTATGGTCTCTGAAGTTGTTGGATTCAATTGGAGCTAACAAATAGTTTGTCATCTTTATTTATGATTTTAGTAGAAAATTATGAAGATACCCGAGTAAGAAAAAAAATTAAGTGTTAAAAGTGTTCAAAAGATTCAAGTCTATAGTAGAGAGAAAAAGTGGTTACAAAATCAAAAAGTTGAGGACAAATGATGAAGGTGAATATGTCTCAAATGATTTTGGCTTATTTCGTGATCAAGAAGGAATAATTCATGTAATATTTCAACTTTACACCCCTCAACAAAATAGAATTGTTGAAAAGAAAAATATATTACCAACCAACCAAATCATCCATACTATACATGCCAACTCAGAATAAACATTTTCCTATTGGGCCATATCTAATCCTTATTGTTTGTACCTTTTCCTTTTCCTTTTCTTTTTTAATATAGTTTCAATTTCTAAAAAAATCTTAATATTTCTATACTAAAATCTATAAAAACAAAATAGGAGTATATTTTTAACATTATATAATATTTGATATTTTTATGTTTAATTTTAATGCAAAAACATCCACAAACTAAAAAAACCAGAGGCCAAACTTTTTTATTTATACTTTTTGATGTCTGCCAAATTTTATGTCTGCTAAACTAAGAAAATCAACGTAATGTATCATGCCCCTCCTAAGTAATTAAAGCAGTCTGCTCTAGTCCATTTCTTTCAATTTTTAGATGGGTGTTACAATCAATTCTTTATTAAGTTAGTTAAATCTATTTGATGTTCCAAACACCTCCATTCAATCTTCATATATAAAACAAGTCCATACACATTTAAATCATATATCCAAATAAGCCATGTTGAGTTCTACCATAACACTTTCTGCACTCTTTTTTTTACTATTCATAATCTTCAAAATCCACCACCATAGAAATAAATGTTGCAAATACCCCATTTTAATAGATTATCCTTTTCTAGGCATGTTACCAGCAGTTCTTTGGAAGTTATGGAATTTTCATGATTTCATAACTGAGGAATTGAAAAAACACCATAGATGCACTGCTGAGTTCATGGGGCCTTGGTTTACCAACATGAACTATTTGGTTACTAGTGATCCCATCAACATGCATCACATTCTTAGCAAGTGTTTTGACAATTATGTGAAAGGTCGCGATTTTCGTGATATTTTTGAAGCTTTTGGAAATGGGATCTTTGTCGCAGATTCGGAGACATGGAAATACAATAGATCTCTTTTTCACTCTCTTTTCAAACAAAGAGGCTTTGAGTTTTTCCAAGAGAAAATTATTCAAAATAAGTTAGAAAGAAGCTTGATTCCATTGTTGGATCATCTACAACAACAAAGTTCAGTGGTAGATTTACAAGATGTATTCAATCGCTTCACATTTGACAACATTTGTTCAATAATTCTCGGATGTGATCCCAATTGTCTTTCCATTGAACTTCCTGACGTTGCTTGTGAGAAGGCTTTTGACCAAATTGAAGAATGCATATTCTACAGGCATGCTATGCCAAAGTGTTTTTGGATGTTTCAAAAACTACTTCAAGTTGGCCAAGAGAAAAAAATGACAAAAGCATACAAAGAATTTGATCAATTTATATATGCTAGTATAGAGTCCAAAAGAGAGGACTTAAAAAAGGGTGTAACTAATATTGAAACGGAAGACTTGTTAACAATTTTGATGAGAGACCAGAAAGGGTCGCAAGTTGTAGTTCATGATGATAAGTTTTTGAGGGATGCTGCTTTCAATCTCTTTGTAGCAGGAAGAGATACAATAACTTCAGCACTAACATGGCTCTTTTATCTTATTGCTACACATCCTTTAGTAGAAGCCAAAATTCTTGAAGAGATTAAAGAAAATTTTGGGACTATTAATATTGAAAAGAAGTTAGGGGTTGATGATATGAAAAAGCTAATTTATCTTCATGGTGCTATATGCGAGGCTGTAAGACTTTTTCCTCCAATACCCTTTGCGACAAAGCAAGCAATCAAAGCTGATATACTTCCAAGTGGCCACATTGTTAATCCTAATACAACCATACTATTTTCTATGTATTCAATGGGGAGATTTGAAGATGTATGGGGAAAAGATTGCTTGGAGTTCAAGCCAGAGAGATGGATATCTGAGAGAGGAGGCATTGTTTATGAACCATCCTATAAGTTCATTAGTTTTAATGCCGGACCTAGAACTTGTTTGGGAAAAGACTTGTCGTTCATTCAAATTAAGATGGTAACTGTTGCTATTTTGTGCAAATATTATATCCAAGTAGTGAAAGGTCATGTTCCTATCCCAAATCATTCAATTGTACTTCTTATGAAGAATGGTTTGAAGGTAAGGTTAGCAAAAAGAGAGATTTGATGAGAGGTTTCTATATATCATATTTAAAAATCAGTCTCTTTATGTGTGTGCGCTAGTAAACTATTAAGTGGACTTATTACTCTTTAAGTATTTTGAATATGGTATCCAATAATATTAAATAAATAAAAGTCTTATATGCATCAATTTGTATAAGTGTTGTCCTGAGTCACATCTTAATAATACATTCATTATACAC